CCCCCAAAACCCCAAAACCCCAAAACCCCTTTTTAGAAAGAATCAGTTGAAATTAACAGTAAATTTCTAATTTAAAAATGGAGAGCAGAATAAATGTGTGCGTGAGGATTAAACCTCTTAAGAAGGGTGAAGAGATTAATGATAAGAATAATTTATGGAACATAACTGATGAAAAAGTCATTGTGAACTCCAGGACTAATGAGACGTTTAATTTTGATAAAGTGTTCAACCAGGAGTACTCGACAACTGATATTTTTGAACAAAATATTAAGAATCATATTGAATCAGCCGTTAAAGGGATTAATGTAACCATCTTTGCTTATGGACAGACTAGCTCTGGTAAAACTTTTACTATGAGAGGAAGTGAAGAGTGTCCAGGTCTAATCCCATTGACCATCAATGAGATCTTTAGACTGACTGCTGATGGAAAATCTGGATCTAACTGAAAAGTCACCTGCTCATATATGGAAATCTATAATGAGAGTGTCAACGATCTCTTAAATCCGAAGAATAAAAATCTAGGAATCAGAGAAAGCGTTAGCAAAGGAATTCATATTCAAGGCTTGACTACAGAAGAGTGAAAGGACCAAAAAACCATGATAGAACTGTTAGAGGCTGGAGAAAATGCTAGGATAACAGCTGCAACTAACCTTAACGAACAATCTTCTAGATCCCACTCTGTTTTTCGATTCAATATTGAGATCAGCGAAAAGAAAAAGAATGGGGAAATCTCCACAAAAACATCCCAATTCAACCTAGTTGATCTTGCTGGAAGTGAAGGTGTCTCAAGGACAAAGTCTCAGGGAATTAGATTTAGAGAAGGATCAAACATAAATAAATCCTTGCTTGCTTTATCGAAAGTTATTCATCGACTGAGCTCTAATGAGAAGAAAGGAAAAGTATTCATCAACTACAGAGATTCTAAATTGACAAGAATCTTACAACCTTCACTGGGAGGAAATTCCCAGACCATTGTAATTTGCACTTTATCACAACTTTTCGTGAATTACCAAGAATCTGTGAAGACTCTTCTTTTCGGCCAGATGGCAAAGAACGTTAGAACTATTGTTAATGTAAACGAAGTTGTCAAAAATAAAGATGCTCTTGAGCTGAAGGCAGCAAAGCAAGAAAATGAGGAACTAAAAGATCAGATTCACCAACTTGAGATAAAGCTTAAAGAAATAGCTAAATCAAAAGGAAATGGAAGTAACAAAAATAGTCGTTTCTCAACTCCAAATAATGATGGAAATAAAGAAAACTTAGAGTCAAAGGCTGTCTTGGACGAAGTCATGGAAGTTGACCAGAATGAAGCATCTCACAATAGCTCAGGGTCAAACCTAAAATCTACAATTACTCATCTAAAGGATCAAATTTCTTATCTTCATGGAAAGATTTTCACTAAATCAGAAGAAATAGAACAAAAGGATTTGATCATTAGAAAAATTCAATCTGAGAAATTTGAAATTGAGCAAAAATATGAAGAAGTAGATGCTAAAGAAAATGAAGCAAGGAAAGAAATTGAGCTATTAAAAGAACAACTAGCAAGTAACGCTGACATCACTGTTGAGAGTATCAAGAAAGAGTTTGAAAAGAATCAAAATAAAGAAATTCTTGATGCAGATGGTATACAATGCTTCAACATCAACAGTGAGGACTCAAATGATGATTGAAATTTTCTTTCTTCTCTCGAAAAGAAGTCTCAAGGCAAAGATTCTCATTTAGACATGGAGTTTAAACTAAAGAAATTGATTTTACAGCAAGAGGCCACTATTTCTAAACTCACCAATGAGCTTGAACTTCTTACAGACAACAGTGTAAATATGAAAAACGAGATAAGACTTCTGAACGAGTGAGAGAGACTCAAAACAGAAGAACTGGACAATGCAGAGCAAGAGATTATCAAACTCAAAGAGGAAATCAAGTTTTTCCAAGAAAGCAATAAAGAATTAGTCAACTCCATTGATGAAGTAGAGAAGACTCTCCAAGAGATAGAGAGAGGACCAGGAATCTCAATGATGGATTCCTCCAAAAGTGAAAGCAGTTATCATAAAATAGATAAGAGAAGTCTACTTGAAGAGAACGATAGACTAAATAAAGAAACAAATGAACTCCAGTCTAGATGTCATGACCTCTCATTCCAATTACAAAAAGTAGATTCAGATAAATCAATTACTCAGAAGAAGCTAGAGACTGCAGAGAGCAACATTGAAATTTTGAATGAGACACTTGAGTTCATGAGCAATGAAAACTCTCAGTTCAAAGGTATGATTAATTAAACTAATTTATAGATCAATTGGCAAGACAGAAAGAAGTGATTGACTTCAAAAGAAAAGAAATTGGACATTATGAATCAGATCTTGAAGAGATTAAAAAGAAGTTTTCTACCAAGAAAAGAATGAAGAAAGCTCAATCTAAAGAGAGTAGCAACAATAAATTTATCAAAGAGATTGAGAATTTGAAACTCCAGATTCAAGATTACAAAGAACAGCTCGAGAAGAAAGAAAAAGAGTACAATGAGCTCAAGGTTACTGTTGACAAAGTGAAGAAAATCAAGGGAGATTATGATAGTGTTGTTAAAAGGTAATTCCAAAGCATAATAATTTAGAGAGAAGCAATCTCTCAAAGCAGAGTTTGACAAGCAGAAAAAGTCTCTTTTACAAGAAGTTGATGAATACAAGTACAAATCCTACAATGTCCTAAACGATAATGCTTCACTTAAGAAGAAGATAAAGAGTTTGAACAATACTATTCTTGACAGAGACATTGAAATCAAGACTCACAAGCAAGATAAAGAGAAATACATGCTTGAGATTGTGGATCTGAAGGTTAATATTAAAGAGTCTGAGAGAGTTAAGGAGCAGCTTGAAACTAAGAATCAAGAAGAACACAGGAAGGTAAGAAACGACCTCTAAATTGTTATCAATGTCAGAAATAATTTTATTCTCTAGAATTTGGTAAAACAAGCCAAAATGGAAGCAGAATTAGAAGCAGTTCATCTTAAAGAAGTTGAGAACAGAGATGTGCTCTACAACTATAAGAAGTTTGCTAAGAACATGAATGATGTCATTAAGATATTTATAAAAGGATCAGATTCTGCAATTGAAGCAACAAAGGATAAAGAACAGTTCAATACTATTGAAAATGAATGTTATAAATGTATACTTGAACAGAAAGAGATGCTTCTGAAAGTACAAAAGAAAATTAATTTGAAAAGACAATCTGGATTTAAAGTCCCAGATACAAAAGCTCATCCTGCAATCAAAATTGGATATAGCGAAGATGAGCCTACAACCACCGATGAAAATGCTGGAGTTAAAAGTGGAAGAAAGAGAGTGAGGATTGATGTAGATTAATATTTTTATACAAATTCAATAAAGTTTAAAAGAGCGGGGTTTTGGGGTTTTGGGGTTTTGGGGTTTTGGGG